TCTCTCTTCTCTTCTCTCTTCTCTCTTCTCTTCTCTCTTCTCTCTTCTCTTCTCTTCTCTCTTCTCTTCTCTCTTCTCTTCTCTCTTCTCTTCTCTCTTCTCGGGTTTGTTGGGTTTTTTTTACCCAGACCTGAGTAGGTCACAGTTTCTACAACCTTCAAAAACTTTCCAGGAGATGCAGTTGTTGTGTTCTTACAACTTACAAAGGAAAAAGTGAATGGGGAAAAAAGAAATCAGTAACAGCAGAATTTTGTGTACAAGCTCTAATGCTCTTTTGAAGACGGAAATTTTTTTTTTTTTTTTTAAAAAAAAGCAAAGACCTAACCCCCACACTTTCAATCAAAGGGGCACATAATAGCTGGTCAACTAATGAGTGTTTACAGCAAGGAAAAACGAGACTGGTGTACTTTGTGGGACATTTATTTGGGCTTTCGTTAATGGGACTGGTTTAGGTCGGGCTCTGCGCTTTGGCAGATCTCCCAAGCTGCCTTAATTTCACCGGCGTTTCAGGTGCGTTAAGGATGCAGGCATGGGCTCTGCTGGCAGCAGCGTTTCCCCTTTGTTCATGGGCAGTTCCTGGGGACAAAGGAGAAAGGCGCATTGTTTGTGCAAGGAACCTGCAGAGAAGGCTACAATCTTAAAATAGAAGAGATCTGAGGCCCCTCCTGTCATTCAGGTGTGGATATTTTAATCTTATCTTGCATTTAGGGACTGTTTTTCTCAAGGTGGCATCACAGGGAGTGAGTAGTTTTTGCCGAGTGGCATCTCTGAACGAAAAACCAAAGATGTTTGTACCCTACCAACAGTGATAAACAGCTTCATGATCTCATCCTGTCAGCAGCCTGAAACAACTGGAGAGAAGAGCTGATTAAGCCTCATGTCCTTGTGTGATGAGCTGCACCAACAAATCAAACTTCTCCCCTGTGGATAGTCCATTTCAGTAAAATTTTGTACCGTTCCCTCAAAAACCAAGAGTGTGTTATTGGGGAAACCAACAGGAACATTGCTGGGATGCCCAGGGAAAGGGTAGTGCATGTACACAGGTGCAGACCAAATCCTCTGAGTGAGGTGCGTTTCTCAAATATATTTTTAATTAGGAAAACCTCTGGGGAAAAAACCCAGTTTTTGGTGGTATGTTTACATGAGGCAAAGGGAGATTTGGGGAAGGAAAATGGACAGGAGTTAAAAATAAAGCGTGTCTGGCTGCCAGATTTTTCCATGTGGAGTTTTTCTGAGATGTCATCCAGAACAGGCCAGCATCTGGTGTCCTCCCCGGCCACCCTGTCCATGTGACACTAACGGCACAAAGCTTGGGGCTGCCATAAAGAGGAGACTAAACATCGCAGCGTCTGTGAATCCCCGTGTCTCTCTCGCGCACACACACACACACGCACGCCACTTCGGAGACATTTGGTGTTTAAATCGGCACGCTCTGTAGGAAATAACAGGGTCTGATAGTTCAAGGATTAACAATCACTGGCAGCCAAGCTGTATAATGTTTCTTTCTTGCGCCCTGTGAGCTCTCAACTTGATGAACACTTTAAAAAATGTTAATTGAAAACCTTGCAGTGGAGACTATTAGGAGGCAGCCTGTTTCTGACTGATAGCCGAATCGGAAGTCAGACGCCATTAAAATGTTTGTCTCCCTTATCAGCGAGGCTGCTGCGGCCGTGCCTGCCCGGGCCTGGTGTGTTGGTGTTTCTCATGCAGCTCTGCTTTCCTTCTCAGGCCCATCTTCTATTATCGTGGCAACGAGATGATGGCGGTGAGAGTCGGGCTTTACAAGGCTCACTACTGGACCTGGAGCAACTCCTGGGAGGAGTACAGCAAGGTAACAGGACACCGACCTGCCCCCTGGTCTCGCTGGTTCTCCTGGGGTAAAAATAATCCCTTAAAGCAGAGTTTTAAACTGGGGAACGTTGCTGTGCACTTGCCTTTTATTCACGGCCTCTTAAGAGCTGCCAGATCTGCTGCAAAATCGAAGGGGTCTGGTGCCACAGCACCCCTCTGCTGAAAGAGACAAAGGAAAATGAGCAAAGTCCACGTAGTTCTGGGGTGCTCCCTTTAATCAGCACTTAACACCCCTTAATATTAAGCTTCTTTCTCTGCTGAATTCTGAGCTTTCACGTGCACCCTTAACAAAGTTCGGAGTCTGATGCTGAATTGATCACATATCTCACAATATTTAGTACAAAAGACCCGGTTCCCTGAACAATTTAAATGGAATAGGGGTGGTTTTGTTGGGTTTTGTTTTGTTGGTTTTTTTTTTTTTTTCTTGAAAGGGAAAAGGAAAGCCGTAGGAACTGCACAGTGGAAAGAACAGCAGTTGTTGAAAACAGTGGAGTACATGTGTTTAATCTATTATCAGCACTTTTGCGAGCCCATATCACACTATAAGGTGTTTTACATTTTATTTGCCAAATAGGCACAGCTTTTGTAATTTCCTGGCTGATCTTCTCACAATTGGATGTTAAGCACTATTATTTTTCTTCTTTTGCATCTGTATTGCCTCAGACTTGGGTACTAAACTCTGGGGCATTTCTTGAATGGCAGGTTCACACATGTGCCTTGCTGATTATACCTTTAGACATGAACTAAAAGCGTTATGGCACGGCTCTCAGCAATTTTGACAGCAGGCTGGTATTGGGGAGGGATTGTTTGTATGATTCTTTTTTTTTATGTCCTTTTTTTTTTTTTTTAAAACTTATGGTGGGTCCTCAAGGCATCACAGGTGCTGAAATAAGTGCTGATGACATTTGTGGATATAAAAGTGCATGGTTCCTTTCACTGGGATGTCCTGGGGGTAGCAGGAAACGTCAGCTCCAAGGGAGTCATTTACATTCAGGGCTGTAAATATGTGCATTTGTCTTTTTAAAACTGTAATGCTCCGGGAGTCAAAGTTTCTCTTTTACTTCTCCACTGAGTAAGGAGAAAAGTTGGCTCCAGAAATGCACAGTACGCTCTGTCTCAGTGCTAATTCCACGCAGCTAACGCGAGATAATGTATTTGTCTAGGTTAGTATGTGTGTAAACCCCATATATCACACGTGGCACAGCGTGGAGGATTCTCCCTGTGGGAGAGACCCTGGGGGCCTGCGTGTCCGTGGGGAGGGGTGTACGAGTGGGCTCGGGGGCACGGTAGATAATGTCACACCTGAATAACTGCTCTCCGTTGTGATATAAGCACATGCACACGCTTACATACCTAGTTGGGAAATAAATAAACATCTACGCTGATCTAAACTTGTTTGTACATGTCTGAGTGTGTGTGTAGCTGTGATAATGCGGGCCAGTTACTCATTTCAAAGGCTTTCCTACTGTGAGCGATGGCAGTTGTGCAATTAAGGAATATTTATTTCTTTCTAAGTCTTTGTTTAACTACTGTCTGATAAAAGTCAGCAATTATACTGTACATCAGAGAGGTGATTAAAAATTCACTTGCTTTCCTGCAGCTTGTATCACATGTGGTTGATGTGGGTAAAATTGGAGCACATTAGTGGACAGACCAGCCATTAACAACATGCAGAGGAAGCTGAGGCTGAAATTTGTTCCAATTCTCCTCATGTCCTCGAGCCATTAATTACAAGCCTTGCAAGTTTAAAAATAGAAAGAAATCAGAATACGGAACAGTTCCACGGTTCTGAGCCCTGTTTTAGGAGTTTTGTAATCTCACCTTACGACACAGTTGCCTCTTTCAGTGGCTGGTGTTCTCCGCTCTGTTGATACCGGACCGCAGTTGTGCTGCCAGAATCGAAAAGGCCAATTTGTTTGCTAATTTCATCAGTAAAATGAAATACAAGCACGTCTGTGGCATTAGGAATTCTGACTGTCGGCAGGTTTGCTGTTCGATACCTTTGATTTGCCATCCCAGTGGAACTTCAGCTAACAAGGCCTTGTTAATTGTATGATCTTGGGTCCTTACCTGATTGTGAATCCCGTGTGATGATTTATTAAACTTTCGAATATGAAACTCTTTATGTCTAAAGGTCCAGACTCAGACTTACAATAAACAGACGTATCTGGTTGGCATGTCATCCGTTTGAAAGAGCTCTAAAGTTGGCCAGGTGTGTCAAAACAGCTGTCTGCAAATTTTTACGAGGTTTGTTTTATGGGTAGTTGAGTATCTCATTATTTTGACAGATACATGGCACGTTTTAGCCAAACCTCCTTGCGCTTTCAGAATTCCCTTGTTAATTGACAGTGTGGGAAATCATTGATACAGAAAACTTGCACTGGTTTTAAGCCACACTTTGTGCATTTTTGTTTGACTTTTAGATGAGATTATACCATTAAAGCAGCCAGAACCACATTTTCATGTTGATACTGGAAAATGAAATTGGTGCATGTCCTGGGTCTGTTTAAGACTCCCAGGTCTTTCAGGATTAACTAGAAAGAACGTATGCTATTTTGGCCTCTAACCTGGAAAGCTATGTGTTTGAACGTGGTATAAGTTAAGTGATAAAGTATGTATACACAAATAAAAATGTACCAGGGAGAAGCAGCTTACGGAAAGCAAAGCCTAGGAAAGCAGAGCAGGGATAGGAATGCTCTCTCCATATGGCACTTGGAATATTTACACTGGAAAGATCCCATGCAAGCAGGACACAGGTTTATAGTTGTCTTAGACTCCCATGACATTAACATGCCCTTACTGGTCTGCATCGGCTGCCTTATGGCCTGGGATTAAAATTTGTCATCTTTCACAAAGATGAAGTGTGCTGTTCTGTTCTTCCTGTTCTTTGTTTGTTGATTTATTTTTTAACCCCCAAGCGTTTTTTTTTCTCTAGTCTGATTTCTCTCATAAACTCTTTCTCAGTGCTGGAGGATACCTTGATGCTGTCTTTGCGGGTAGCTTAACTCAATTACTTTGGTAACTTGCATTCTTGAACAGTTCATCTCTTGGAAGCATAAAGCATAAAGGGAAGGCACACTCCACAGAAGCAAGTGTGAGCAGGACATTTTTCCTGTAGATTGCACAGGATGCTTATTTGGGTCTGTTTACCTCGCTTCCATCTCCTTTCACTTAAGTGGCTCGTGTTTAGATAGTTGGACATATTTGACGTTCAAGAAGTGATAAATGGGACAGAGGTAGATCAAAGGAAACTTTACGTGAAAAATATGTTTATGTTTTTAAATGGTATTTTAAGTAGTTTGGTAGAGGGAGAGAAATCTTCCCCCTGCACAAGGCTGAGTCCCTATTGCTCTGGGACTGGTGGATATCAGCGCGTAAGCTCTTCCACCATCGTTAACCACCCTTCTTCTTGTAGCAAAAATCAGCAGTGATAAAAGCAGCCACGTGTTGTGTGTTGGAACAGAAATGAGCTATGGGTAAACCTGAGGACCTCGCTCTCTTGTACGACATAAGACACAGAGGACTTTTACTGGAAGTCTGCTCTAAAATGCCATTCTTGTTGCTCTCGCCATCCATCCTTTTAGCCTGAAGGTCACGCTTGTTCATTACCAAATTTGAACTGCGTTGTGAAGTGTGTGACAAATAATGGATGTGAGCTTGGCGTTGCGGTTTTATTGCTACTGGTGCCCACGGCCGTGATGCCAGGTGCCCAGCTTCCCATCGCTAAAACAAATGCTCAGAGCCTGCATTGTTAGGAGTTATTTTGTCCACTGGATTGAAGGGGAAGGTACGTTTCATCTTCCTGGTTTGGAAGGGGAGGTCTGAAAGGGGGAGAAAAAAAGGGTATTCTCTATGGATTTAGCTGAGTAGCCAGCGAGTCCTTCAGGAATTGCCTAATTTAATGCTGTGTGGAGGAGGCAGGAGTATGAGCTAGCAGGAGAAAGGAAATTTTCTTCTCTCTGCCTGCCACAGAGACTATCCAGCAGAGAAGAGTTCTTGTGCCCTCCAAGAGCAGTGATGCAAGAAGAGAAAAAAATAATTAAGGAAAAAAAAAAAGAAAGTGGAAAACGCCCTTTGGTTCATTGGAGAGTAGCTGATAACATCAACCTTTCTGCTGTCAGCTTAGTATCTTGTTAGTAGTCTTCAGTGATTTTTTTTTTTCATGAGAGCTCCTGTGTCTTTAAATGATTGGTGTAGGTGCCTGCCAGAAGACCCTCTTGTTTTAATGTAAAATGCCAAAGGGGTTATTCCTGCTGCAGTCTGTCTGATTGCCCTTCTCCTCAACGTGAAGGGATCGATAAAGCCTTTTCTGCAAGGGGGATGTGAAGTCAAGTAGAACCTCACAAATAATGACATTTGATTGTGGTCCTCTGAGCATATGAGCTAGCCATTGATCGCTTCTGCTTGAGAGGCGCTGGAGGCTTGCTGATCTGCCCATCTTCTGGGGTCTCTTCCAGACAGTTAACACATTAGAAGCAATTTTTGTTCAACAGGGTTGAAGCCTGGCAGTCCCACTTTCAGGTGTCTGGTCATTCAGAGCTCTGCTTTGGGGAGGCTTTTGCTGGGAGTTGCCAGGAGGGTGAGAACGGCCACTTACCCGTGCTGTGGCAACCAGCAAGAAACAACGTTCCCGGCTTTGATTAACGGCTGTTCTTTTCTCCTTCTAATATTAACACAGTTTTGCTGCTCTGGGTTTTGTGTGGTGGAATGAGGAGACATGACCAGGAGACAGACCCCAGATTTGTTGCGCCACTATCAAAATCTGCAGCCGCTTGTCAAGTCGGAGGGATCTGGGATAGCGCCAGGGTGACGAATTGCCAGAGGGCTTACGTTAACACAAGTGGTGATTCCATCGCCTGGCCGAGAGCCCAAACTGGCAACCGGCTGTATTTGTCTCATGTCTATATTGACACAGCATCTGTGGTCCATTTGGTCTGGAAATTAAAGCATAAGCTGTGCAACCAATAGCTGCTAGATCTTACCAACGGAAAAACAATCCAGGTTACACGATTGCTGGGGAGAAGGGCAGGAAGACGTGCTCGCTGAAAGGTTTACCTGATGTGCAGGAAATGTTGGGTGTTTTGTTGTTTGGTTGTTTTTTTTTTTTAAAAAAAAAAAAGCTGGAATTTCTCCTCCAGCGCAGTGGTGCAAAACCCTGTGCCTGTGCAAGACACCGGGCGCAGGAGCTGAGCTATTTCTGGTTGCCATCTGATGTTCTTTTATGGGCTCCCTTAGAAGGCATGGAGCTGATCTTCTGGTTTGGTTTTCATGCTTTTCTAATTGAGGAGAAAAGCTCCAAGAATTTGCTTAAACACAGGGAGTGACCTTTCTACTTTGTTTGATCAGTGTTGCCTGTAAACATGCAAATTCCCTTGGATGTTGTGCAGAGTAAAATATTAGGCATGTGCTTTAACTGGCTATTGATCCCCTGTATATTGTTATTAACAGTCTGACAAATGAATAGTTTAAAGGAAATAGCAGCAGATGAAGTGGTAGCTGATTTGGGGTTTGTGATCCTGGTGGGTAGGGCAGGCATAGCCACCTCTTTGCTCTCCTCTGACATAACATAGCTTTCTTTTGGGGTGAAGCTGCCATCCTGTTGGCAGTGCCAGAGGGCTGAAGCTGGTCCCTCGTCGGCAGAAATGAGGAGAGCCCCTCCCCAGCCCACAGAGAGACGTGGCTTTTGCTCCAGCTGAGAACCTGGCACGTTTGCATTTATTGTTAAAGCCTGCAGTGTTCTTGGGGTCCATGGGGTGTGTCGTCAGCTCAGGATTTTACAAGAAAAAAAAAAAAACAAAACACCAACAAGTTTTGTTTAATGAAGAGCACAAAATGATCCAAAATGGTGAGATGATTTAAAATTATCATCTAGAAGAGAGTGCCCTTCCTCACCAGGCCTGTCGCCCACAGCCTGCGTGGGGTGGCAGAGCCGGGGGGCAGCTCCGTCTCTCCCGTCCCAGCCACACACAAGGAGTTCTGGCATGTCCCAGCTCCCGGTACCACACGTGCCTGAATTTGCACACTTTCCAAGTAACCAGAGACATTGTGGGTTGTCTCGTCTTTAAATACTTCTCAAATCTCAAGCAGATTTAATTTGTACTGGTTTTGCTCCAGGAAAGAAAAGCAATCCAGACTTGCGGATCCCAGACTTTCAGTTCACTTGTTTACCTGATTTTTTTTTTTTTTTTCTTTCCATCCTGAGAACTGAAAATGCTTTGACTTACAAAACAGAATGAGAGAGAGTTGTGGATGATGAGTTAAATATTCTTTTCTGTCAAAGGGACAGAAGAGTAGGCTCCTCTAGCTGTAGCGTATTAATCTAATGCAGGACAACACCTTGGTCAGGGGTGTGAGGATATAATTTACCTCTTATTTTTTGCTCATTTGTCGATGAGCCGGTAGAAAATATTTTAAGCTCTCTCTGTCAGTTGAATATCGACAATCACACAGTACATAAAAATAATAATAGTCAATTTTATCTATGGAGATAAAGTTGAAAGGCCTTAGAAATTTAAAGGGTGGTTTCAGCCATAGTTTTAAGAGAGTTATTTATCAATGTCATAAAACGGTATGCTTGATTTTAGAGTTTTTTTAATTTTATTTTTTCCCCAATAGTCTACTTTGGAAGAGGGTGTTGGGGGCTTAGATTAGAAAGACAGATGGCTTTTGGCTAGTGGCGTCAGGCAAGTTGTCACAGCACTTTTTTCCCTGGGAGTCTTTGGGGCGTAGCCCGGGCTGTGTTCTGCAGTCTCGGCTACAAGGATTTTATAAGAAACAAAAGATAAAATGTAAACAGAGCACTGTATAAACAAATACCCAAGAGACTAAAATCTTCTTTCAAACTGAAGCATTTGCAGCCGATGAGCATTGTACCAATTAGCAGGCTCTTAATTAAATTGCTTGTTTGATTTGCATCCAAATTATAATTTGGATGTTATGTAGGCTTTGATACCTTTTCATTAACTGTTCCTTTTGAGGGGGGAAAAAAAAATAAAAATCTATTTTTCACTGTGTGTTTCAGAGGCCTGTGGCGTCACAAGGTGGAAAGGTCAATCATTTTTGTATCCATTTAAAGTCCATTATTGGTAGGCCACTACAACCTATCAAGCAACTCTCTTATTTTTCCAGTCAGTGATTCAGGAATCTATAGCTCTGTGCAGATAAATGGGATTTCATGGGCTTCTAAACTTCTTGCTTTATTGAAAAGCAGAATATTAACTGCTCCACTGACCAGCTGTCCATTAAAAACACAGGATATTTTTAGAAAATTGTTTGCCAATCAAATCCTACCAACATCTGTAGAGAGCCTTTTCAGTTTGTTTGTCTTATAAGCAAATGCTACAGCTGCTTTCCCACCTCCATTGAAATATTCCCATTTACCTTCTCTCCATGTCTCTGTCCGTGCCTCGGGGCATTTTGAGGTATTGTGAGGAGCGCAGCGTGTTAGCTGGAATTGTAAAACTGAGCTTTAACAAGTCCATTTGGTGCTAGTCCTTGCTGGTCTGTGGGACCCCCTGCTTTATTTGCCGTTCAGTGAAATTAGTGCTTTGCATTTTTTCCTATTCCCAGGGCTTAAATGGGTTCTGTTCGCCCTCAAGACCGCAGGCCAGGCTCTAGGCGATTAGGGAGCTCGACACCTGGCTAATAACGGGCTGGCCTTCGGGAGCCGAAGCCTGGCAAGGTGTGCCAGGCAGATGCAGAGGGCTGGCGCAGCCCCTGGGTGGCCAGCCAGCACGTTAACCCGTTGCTGCTGGCAAAGGGAGGGTCCCAGGACTTGTGCCCTTAACATCCCCTGCTGGGAAATTCCCAACTTCTGACCCCGCAGACTTGAATGTTAGTGACGGGAAGGTCTCCAGACTTAAAGCAGTTCTTTCAGCCCCGCTGTCATTCCCAGGTGAGTGCCTCGATACCAGCTTGCTGCGAATCAGATCAACAAACACACCCATTTCTTTAAAATTAACCAGATCTGCTTCGTTCTGCAGTGAAACAGCCCCTCCAGGCCTGGTGACAGGTGCTGGGCAGCTCGGGTTTTGGGGAGGCTGGCGGGTGCCCGCTGCCTCTCAGGTGATGGCCCTGGATGTTTCCTCTGGGATTTTGCTTTTGGATCAGAACTGCCAGGTGATCTGATCCTCTCTGTGTGTGTTTTGAAGCCATAGAACCCAAAGAGAGAAGATACTTCCCACGTGCAGAATTTTTATGATTAAATGGTTTCGTGTCTTTGTGTTTTATTTTGCCATTTCATTTTCGTGAATATTTGATAGAGTTTACCTTTTTATAAGGCAAGAGCATAAGCCCTTTTTCAGCTTTCATGTCAGTGCAATGCCAACATTGTCACCTTATTTTACCCCATCAGATCAGAATCCATTTTGCAGACTGAAGTGGACTCTGTTTAAAATACTTCTGGGTTTTGTGGGTATATTGGAACAAGGTGCTGAAGAAAGTGGCATCAGCTAAAATTTTGCACCCTCCCCTGCTTCACCCTTGATGACCTCTCTCCTCTTCACTGCAGGGCATCGATTTCTGTCCTGGGCAGAATGTCTCTGGAGTGACAACACATACACAGGAGGAGCACACTACCCTGCCACTGCTTTTCCACCTGGGGAGGGACCCTGGAGAGAAATACCCATTAAGGTGAGCCAGTTAACGAAGAGGTGAAAACTCTCAGCACTGTCAGCTGATAATTCATTTGCCTTAGTAGCTGTTTCTCCCAGACTGCTTGAAAACTGTCCCAGAAAGCCATTACTGGTGAGAGTAGTGAAAAGAAAGGAGCAAACCTTTGTTTTCAAATGGTCAGGTTAGATGGATGTGCACATGTTCATGACTCGACTCGTCCGTCCAGTTGTTCTTGTTCTGTGTGGAGGAGGCGAACTTCAGGCTTTTGGAGTGGACCGGGCTGAGTGCAGGGCAGCTGTGGAATGAAGCAGTGGTGCTGGTGAGCGTGTGCACTGGAGCTGTGATTCTCTGTCTTCTGGGGCTAGGCAGGGAACGTCCAGCGATCTTGGTGTACTCTGTGGTGTTTTTCCTGGTGCGTTGGAATCTGTGGAAGGCAGACGTGGTAACGTCCAATCTCCTAGGCCCTGCTGAAGGAACTTCTCCAGAGGGTCTTTAGCAAGAGGACTTTCTGTCCAATCCTGTTCCATTTTGGACTCTCCTGGCTGGCTGAATCTATTTTCCTATAAGCCTACTATTGTAATATTTATCTCCAGCACACACCATGCCCTGAGAGATTTCTCTAAGGATTGATGTAGTCCTCAGCCAGCACAGCCCACGTGTAAACCTGCCAGCTCCAAAAAAAGCTCCCAAGGTGTCCCCACCTCCCTCCCTCCTTCCTTCTCCTGACTGAGTTTTACCCTGTGGCAAAACAAGCTGCAAACGGGGCCATGCAGCCTCATCCCTCATCAGTGGCTCAGACTCAGAGAATATGGAAATAAATAAAGAGAAAACTAGTGCTACTGTGACCACCTGCACAGAAATGGGTTTGTGCAGCAGCTTTAACAGAGAGGTGTTTTCTGAGCTGACAGGACTGCAATTACTCAACTGTTTTAAATAATTGAGTGGATACATTCACTCCATTACTTTCGAAAGAACTGAGCCTGTGCTGTCCACTAAGTGTTTTCACTGGAGAGAGGAGGGAAGGGAAAATATTTTCACTTCTCTCTCACTTAACAGACAGGCACCCTAGAGATGCATTACGCAGTGGATGCAGCTCTTCAGAAGCCCAGCACAGTGGCTCTCGCTTTCTGTTCAGCACTAATGAATAAAGCAAATCTGCAGCTCTTGTATTTTAACGTCACCTCAGTGCAGCTACGCTACTGGGTTGGGATTCCAGATATGACTATGCCCTGTTCAGTTTAACAACTCTGTTATTTTAGGAGGATGAGTTGATAGAAATGACCTCTTTCTCCAAAAATCAAACGAACGGGTGGTCTGAAGTGAACTGTGGTTGGCCTTCTGTTTGTGTTTCCTCTGAATTTGAGGGAGAGGAGCTCTTCCCTAAGAGGTTGTTTGCAGGACACCTGCTTCCCTGTTGTTTAGGTGTTCCTTACCACCACCAGGGATTGAGCACTGAAATAAATTCCAGTGTTACATCTGCAATCATTTCTCATATGGTGCCATTGATTTTTTGGTCATTCACAAGCTGTTGCTTTGATTGAATTTTATGGCAAGATTATGACATGATTATGTAAAGCTGTGATGTTGTTTAATACGCAGACCCTAATAGAAAGCCTCTTTTTAGTAAATGAATCTTCCTTTCTGCAGCACATTCTGTTGCTGTTGTCTCCTCTCTGGTCACAATGGAAAACTCATGGGAAGTGGGTCTCCTATATCAAATGTGGTAATTAAATTATCCTCATTTGTGGAGCTGTTACTGTTGTGTATTTTTATTTAGCTTAATTATCCCCCTTGGCAGACAGCCTGTTGGGAGTCCCGACACTAATGTTTCTCAGAAGGGAATCCAGCGCTCCCCTCCAAGCGTGCATCTGTCCGTCCGGACGTGCCGGGTGTGCTGGTCGCTCGCGCTCCAGCCCGAGGTGTGTGTGTGTGCTCCCTTCGCCCCCCTGCAGCCCCGCAGGAGCACGCTGCATCACACAGCTCTCGCACCAGCTCGGCTCCTTTGGTGCGTTGTCACGTCGCCAAAGCATTTAGAAAAATTCACGTTGCACCCCCGATTTATTGGTATGTTTCCCTCTTTTATGTAGTTTACTTTTACCACTTTGGTTTCTTAAATCTGACTGGATTTTATTCATTTTTCTGCTGTTGTGAAGGAGACTGAAGGAGCAGCATGGCATGCCGATGCCCTGTTCCCTCTGCCTGTTCTTGCTCATTTTTTATTTAGTTTATTTCTTATTTTAGTGCGGCCTTTTCTTCTCCCTAAAATGATTTTAATAATCTGTTATATCACTTGCTTTGCATTAGTTTGGAGGAAACCACAGCTAAGAGGTTTCACTGCAGCACGTGAAGGCCAGGCATTGCACATGCCTCCGGAGAGCTTTACTGCTTTTAGATTTGGGCTCCCTCTTGGATCCTGGGGGATCTCAGAGCAAATGAGTCAGCTCGGTCTTGACTTGCAGGGTGCTTACGCTCAGGCAGTCTCATCTGAAGCATCTTCGGGTCGTGACACTGCGCACAAGATACTGCATGACACCAAGAGACTTTTTCCAGGCCGCCATCTCAGTTCATCTCGTAACATGGGGATTAGCCTTTTCAATCTTCGCCGGGGAACTGCCTGCCAAAGGGGTCACTGAAGAGGCAAGTCCTTCAAGATCTGGAGACAGCACGTAAAGTTTTCGGTTCCCTGGGTCTCGTGGTGAAGCAGCACAAGTCCTTCCTCTTCCTGACACAGTTTGCTGGATTTCCTGGAGCCTGCCTGAAAACAATATGAGCAAAAGCTTATCTCCCACAGGGGAACTTTTCATGCAGTGGAAAAACTGGGCAGGCAATTACAGGCAGGTCCTGTCATCATGTTGAGGACACGTCTGGCAGTTCTGAGCCATATGGCACCCTGCACTTGTGTTCCCCTCCGTGTGAAGCTGTGCATGCATCCCTGCTCATGTCTGGCTCGAGGAACGGGCCCTCCCACCAGACCTGTGACTGTTTCTCCCCGCTATCACCCCTCTGGTTTTGGCAGGAGCTCCTCCTGCACCCCAGCTTCTGTGCGGGGACACAGTGCTATCTCCCCCTTCGCCTTGAAAGATAATTACTGACGTTTCTCAGTCCGGACTGGAACTTCACCCCAGCAATCCCAGAGCCTCACAGACTTCACGTTTTGTGGCTGAGGTTCAGAGCAGTGCCAGTGCAGGTGATGAGCTCTCACGCTGCCTGAGCTTGCCCATATTTACATCATCACCTCAGCAGGCTGGATGAGGCACGATCCCTGTCCTGTAGTTGACCTCCAGGGCTGACACGCTCCATGGTAGCATCGGATACCTTCACTACCAGGCTCTTAGCCCCTTCTCCCCTGGAAGGAGGGGGAGGATTCTCCCAAGAAGTGCAGGACTCTGGGGTCCTAGTGTTGAGAGAAGCCTGGCACCATAGGACAAGCTCAACATTTATATGGCTTCAGGATGAGGTAGGGCATGAACACACCTGCAGGTGCTGACGAGGGAAAGTTGGCATCTGGAGAGGTGCTTGTAATAAGAACACCTGCAATACCAGGGTATATATGGGCAATACATTTCACAGAAGTGTGGTTACTGGTAACTAATCTTTCTTTTGGTTGCCAAAAATGGTAATGTAACTGCACTTATATAAGAGTTACCTTGTTATCTGGTCCTTGTGTAAGTGAGAAGTGAACCGTTTGTGTCTTTTGTCATCCAAGAGATTGACTAGAGCTGTGTAGGCTGTGGGACAGAAGATATCTCTTTTTTTATAGCTCTCAACTTTAAAATATAAATAAGATTTTGTTAGGCAGTTCACAAAGAAGCAGCATTTCTCTAAGTCTAAGCAGTATTTTGTTTTCTCCCTAGATGCAATTACTAGGGGTTTTTGCTTTGTATAAAAACACTCAAACTGTGGGGTGCCCATGTTACCAAATTTATCAGAATGCAGATCTAAAAGATCTGATATTTTCTTTACTAAATTCTGTTATGTTTGGGGTATTGTGTGTCCGCCAAGTACCACATAGGGAACTTGTTTCTCCATTCAAACCATATGTGACAAATTCAGTAAAATTATCTGTTGGTCACATCTTCACAGCCAGTTGTCAGTTTTATTACCCAAGTCACACATTACTGTTTATACAAGCCTTTACTAAAATACTTCACTGCCAGTCAGGAAGAACACGATAATATATAGTAAAAGCTGGCACCGCTTAAAATACAGTTAACAAAATACCTAATGCAGACTGAAGTAGAAAGTGTGTTTTGAGTCAGACTCCAAAGCTGTAAAAAGAATTTCTATCAGAATTCTCTGAAATTCTGTCAGTTTGAGCCAGAGGTGCAAAGTCTTAATAACAAGTAAGTACAACATGCTCACGCCTTGCTGATACTCCAGAGTAGTAGTGACTTCTGCTTTGAGCAATCAGCCTCTGTTCAAAACTGAGTTTACTAAATTTTGAACGTCAAAATACCCATGTTTCACTTAGGGGAATAGATTTTACTATTATGGAAAAAATGGAAGTGAGGAGGCTTGGTTGATGAACATAATGATTTTAGAACACATTAATGAACAAGAGAGCTCACAAGTGCCTGTTTTGAGCAGATGGAAAATCCAGGAAATCATCAGAGAGGTAATTGCACTGGTTATGGAGCCAGAAAAGAAGGGAAGAAGCTCCTGAAGGGAAGCTGAAGGGGAAAAGGATCTGTTAGAGAAGTTGCCAGTCTCACCTTACTGATCAGGGCAGAAACCTTGCTGCGGGGAAAAGAGAGAAGGTGCAAAACAAGGGAAAAAAAAACCAAACACAACATTATAACAAAGAGCCAGAATCTTGCCCAGGGGAGATGCTGCCTCCTCATCTTTTTGAAAAAGAAGGAAATGGTACCGGCCGCACTGGGGGCAAATTAAGCTGCTGCCATGGGAGAGGTGGCGTTGAGGAGCACTAGAGCTGTGGGCACCATGGAGCTGTGGGTGCAGAACTGCAGGGATGCTGGTAAAAAACATCGAGCATCAACCAGGCAGGGGCTGGACACAGA